ATATGCTGACTCTGTAAACCGCTTAGAGAGGGCTGAAAGCCCTATGAAGCGGTATATAAGCCTAACTATTGCTATTGCTATTGCTATTGCTATTGTTTCAATGGCAGCCAAAGCAGTAGCAAAGTAGAGGCTGACAGATCCGTAATTACAGCACTGTATTCCCAGGGAGAAACTTACTCAGATATAAGTTGTAAGAAATTACAGTATACTGTTTTCTGTTACCCGTTTTTTCTAAAGGATAAGAATCCTGGAAGAACCTGAAAGCAAGCATCTCTTTTCTGTCATCTTTCATCTATGTGTACCCTGAATCATGAGGTAAGTATGATGTTAAACAGGTAAGGAACCTACTCCTTACTTCTACACCTGACCACTGGCTTCAGCATCCAAAACCTGATCCTAAACCTGGAAATAGTCAGTCCATCTTCTTCAGATTAAGATCAAGGCTACACATATAGTATAACATCTATAATGATGCTATATCAACAAAACCTTGCTGTTTCTTTACTATCCATAGAAGAGCAACAATGGAAAACCTAACAGTTTCCAGTTTATTGATGTTACATTTTATCATGAATCATAACTATTGGAACCCTGCACAAAGTGGTCCTAATTAGAAACCATGTGATTTCAAAGAACAGCTTATTTTAATACATTGTACTTTAGAGCAACTTTCCCCAATTCTATCAATATTTGTGAATTGCTATATTTACAAGCTGAAGGGAAGGAGATTTTAATCTCGCTGGCAGTCTCTTTCTTTCATAAATTTCCTACTAAAGGATAAGGATAGGAGGGCTTCCATTAGTTGACTGATACATTCTAGTCTGCATACTTCTATCACCAAAGACTTCTCTTTCTGGTCTACCTCTAGGAAAAATGGAAGTGAGTTCTCCTGGTAAAATTCTGAAATACAGGAAATAGCAAAAGTGTGGGAATTCTCTGAAAACACAAAGGTGCAGCAAAACAAAAGTTTTAATGTGAAAATCCTTTTTTAAACAAAATAAGTCAAAATATAACAAGGAATTTTGGAGGGGAAAAAGAAATAAAGGAAAAATAAGGGAGCATAACAATCATACATGTTGAATTCCAAATAAATTTAGTACAATCAGTTTAAATACACTAGATACATATAACCTGCTTGAATAAAATCTTAGCATATGTTCAAGGGTCTTTTGAAAAAGTGTAGCTGAAGAAAAATAATCTGGGCTTCCCGTTCAGATGTTTGTAGGCATGTCTCTCTTCTACTTTGGGTGTGTTTGCATGCATGCACGCACACCAGAGGTGGTATTCATCAGGTTCTGACCAGTTCTGGAGAACCGGTAGCAGAAATTTTGAGTAGTTCAGAGAACCACTTCTGAGTGGCCCCGCCCCCATCTATTTTCTGCCTCCCGAGTCCCAGCTGATCGTGAGGGAATGGGGAATTTGCAGTAACCTTCCCCTGGAGTGGGGAGGGAATGGATATTTTTCCTTCCCCCCTGCCACACCCAAAGTAGAAGAGAGACATGCCTACAAACATCTGAACAGGAAGCCCAGATTATTTTTCTTCAGCTACACTTTTTCAAAAGACCCTTGAACATATGCTAAGATTTTATTCAAGCAGGTTATATGTATCTAGTGTATTTAAACTGATTGTACTAAATTTATTTGGAATTCAACATGTATGATTGTTANGAAAGAAGATGGATGGATGGATGGGTGGATGGATGGATGGATGGATGGATGGATGGATGGATGGATGGATGGATGGATGGCTTTCTTCTCCTATCTCATCCAGCCAAAGAAAGCTAGCCTGGAATGGGTGATGCACTTTGACAGATGTTGCTGTCTGCTTTCAACATTTGACTTCTGAACCCTGGAGTCCTACAGCTGCTAAGTTGTATACACAACTCACAGCAGAAGGACACCCAAAAGCTAGGAAGCTGAGAACAGAAATAAACTACAGTCGTGCCATGATGGGGCCTCCATGACATAATGAAGACAGCACAATATCAATGTTAATATATAATAAATCCATCATAATTAGTAGGCTAACAGGCCAAGCTCTTATTTAAAGAAAGGAAGAAAGAAGAAGCTTAAGTTGTTTGGAACAAAGAAATCTTTTTATGTGCTTTCAGCTGCTCACACATCAACAAGAAACTGGAGCTTTTGATTGGGAAAGTCGGTGTGGACTTTTCGAGGCTGTTATTTGCAGTGATGCAATGTAAACATTCACAGCGCATTTAAAACTGTGGATTAATGTAAAATAATAGGGTGGGCAAAACCGTCCTTTTTATAAACGCATCATGTTATCGGAATGAAAACAAACCCAGGTCTGAAATCCACTTTCTTTTAAAAGGGGGATTCAAAGTATAATTTTTCATATTCCGTTGAAACCAGAAGCCGAATTCTGCATGGAAATGACTTGAATGCTAATGGTATTTTAACTCCAAAGTCGAAAATGCAAGCCCTAGTAATAAAAGTCAAGGAGCAACATGGGGGGAAAATGGGACTAAAACTGAATATAAAGGAGCAAAGAGCAAACAAAGGCAGCCGGTAGAAAAACCAGGCTTAGAATTGACAATGAAAATATCCGAAGGATGGCTAGTTCCCACATTTTACAATCAACCATCCATCGTGAAGGAACGAGCAATCAGCACTGGTAATCCTCAACGTACGACCACGATGGATCCAAACTTCCTGTTGCTAACTGAGACATTTGTTAAGTGGGCTTTGCCTATATTTTACAGTCTTTCTTGCCACAGTTGTTAAATGAATCATTGCAGTTGTTAAGTCGGCAACACAGGTGTTAAGTCAGTGTTTCTCAACCTTGGCAACTTGAAGATGTCTGGACTTCAAGTCCCAGAATTCCCCAGCCAGCATTTGCTTTCTTTCTTTCTTTCTTTCTCTCTCTCTCTCTCTCTCTCTCTCTCCTTCCTTCCTTCTCTCCCCTCCCTCCCTCATTCCCTTCCTTTCTTCCTTCCCTTTTCCTTCCTTCCTTCCTTTCTTTCTTTCTTTCTTTCTTTCTTTCTTCCCTCCCACATCTTAAAATCATCTCTGCTAAGATGTCTATTTCCTGTTATATATTTCTTAGTAAAGCGTTTCCCAATCTTGGCCACTTTTAAGAAAGATGGATTTCAACTCCCAGAATACCCCAGTCTGATCATGATCACATGATCAAAACTCAGAGGCAACTGACTCGTGTTTATGACGGTGGCAGGGTCCCGGGGTCATGTGATGACCTTTTGACTCAGTGAGGAGGCCGGATTCACTTAACACAGTGTTTCTCAACCTTGGCAACTTGAAGATGTCTGGACTTCAAGTCCCAGAATTCCCCAGCCAGCGAATGCTGGCTGGGGGATTCTGGGAGTTGAAGTCCAGACATCTTCAAGTTGCCAAGGTTGAGAAACACTGGCTTAAGAAGGCGATTTGATTTCTATCCCTCAATGAAAAGGACTCGATGCTCGATGCAGATACTCCTTGGATGTCAAGACTGGTGGAGAGTTTTGTTTTCCTTTCTTTTAAAGGAACACTAATAATAAATATAATCACGCGAGCCTCGGTGTAATGGCAGCCTCATAGCCCCAAACATCTGCAAGGAATTGCAGGCTAAGCACCTCCATATGTCGTTCGGGGCCTCAATTTACCCTGGCAGGGATTTCAGCTCTGCATTTGTCTTCCGCAGAATGGAATATGCTGGCAGAACCGTATCCGTGTACGTAGATGTATGAATTTCATGCTTACATCCGTGGAAAAAATATATATGTATATCTTTTCATTTTACTTTAAATTGCCAACAGGTGTTCTCACCTCTTTAACTTAACTCCCGTATTAAAACCGAAAGAAAGGGAAAGAAAAAAAGAAGGGAGTTGAAAATAAAGAGATTTTTGTTGGCAAACAAACAAAGGGTGAGCAAGTTGCGCTGTGAAACAAGTCAGAAAATCAAATAAAGAATTTGTTAGAGAAATGAAGAAAAGAAAAGAAAGACCAGCGTGAATGGAAGCTTTATTTTAACACTAAAACAAACAAATGAAGTTAATATTGCCAAGGGCTACATCTAAGATGCTCCTGGCCTACTAGAGGTAGCCTTCGACGTACGACGCTAGAACATCAGTTGCTAAGTGGGGCAGTTGTTAAATGAGTTGCCTCTGATTTTGCACCCCCTTTTGCCGCAGTTGTTAAGTGAATCACAAGGCTGTTAAATGAATCACATGGTTGTTAAGTGAATCATGTTATTAAGTGAATCACGTGGCTGTTAAGTGAATCGCAAAACTGTTCAGTGAATCTGGCTTCCCTCATTAAGTTTGCTTGTTGGAAGCCAGCTGGAAGTTCACAAATGGAGATTAATTTATTTATATTCATTATTTATATTTCATACTCCTTAGCCTTCCAGTATTAAGAAACCTAAGTCCTGATTGCAATCTGCATTTGATTGTCATCTGCTAACATTCAGATTTATCAATTACTATAAATGCATGCATGCTTTATGGTACCAATTCGCCTTCGATCAGCCACTGCCAAATGACCAGCTTTTTTCTTTTTAATGCTGACGACAAAAGAGCATTCAGTACTTGCCAAAGGAAAGAACTTAAGTGGATTATTTTAAACATAAAATGCATATTTTTGCACACGTTTTTTTAAGGGGAAGATAGGTAATTTTGCAGGATAACAGACCCTTGTCCTTAATCCAAAGAATGTTAATTCTGATTAAATAGGAGGCCAGTTCCCTCCACTATAATTAGCATCTCGAGGCTTGCGGTAAACCACAAGACTATCCAGCTCTCTACCATGAGAAGAAAAAAAAACTCTTTCTCTTTAGCCTGGTTAACAGTTTCGCTGGCAGACCATGCTACCCCCTCTTCCCCCCCAAAGTGGAGCAGCACCAGATTTTTGGGATTTAAAATCTAAAATCCTAAGAGATCTGAAGTCGAAGCAGGAGAATGAATGTCATCCTTGACCCACAGAAAGCAAGAGGCCGCCATCGGGTGTAATCAACGGGAAACCCAAGTTGGAGAACTTACCGCAAAAAAGACGCTCCAACTTCGATGGCCAAATAGGGGTTCGAGGGGAAGGAAAGACAACCCTGATTTCTTGAGTGATTTGTTTTAGGGGGCCCAAGAAAAGAGGGACAAAGGGTGGATAAGCAGAACCTTGTGTAGTGCAAGACAAAACTCCTTCTTTGTCCATTCTGCATCTTGTGACACAGAAATGCCTCCTCTCCTTTGTTTAAAAAAAAAAACCACTGATAGGGAAGCAACGCATTTAGGCTTCCTGCCAAGTTGGTAAATAATTCCAGCACCTACTGTTATTTTTTTTTTAATGATAAGGGGAGTCTGCGTGTCCTTGCTGCAGAGGCTGAAACACACGTTGAGTAACGGCTGAGTAAAGAAAGAGGCACCGTGTTTCGCCAGAGACGTCAAAGGCTGCGGCGACTTCTCCTTATCACCCAAATCTTTCCGGAGCGGTGATCTCTGTCTCCATCGCGCCTGTTTATTCCTATCCTTTGCCGCCGCCTCCCCCCGCCCCCCCTCTTGGCTAATCTTATCTTGACACAACTGACAGCGGTATGGTGAGGTGCAACACCCCCATTTGCCACAAACCTTGGGACAAAACGAGTTTGTCTGGAGCCTGGTAGATTATTTACAGAGTGGAAATATCACAGGCAAAAATCTCACTCTGCATGGAACACGCTGAACTCTCCCTCCCGCTCGCTACTCACCGATCACAATGAGGGTATAGTTCACATTCATGCTGCCAAAACCGTTGGTGGCTTTGCAGATGTAGGTCCCAGCGTCCTCGCTTTCCACCTCCTTGATCTTCAGGCCTTGTTGGAGGACACGGAACCTCATCCACCCACTGTGGATCATCCTCCCGTCCTTCGTCCACATAGTGAGAGGCGGTGGGTCGCCTTCGACCGGACACAGAAGCTTGATGGTTCTTCCTAACCTTGCTGATTGCCGGTGGATCACTTTGTCGGCAATTCTGGGTGGGCCTGGAGAAGAAGAAAGAAGGAAATCCATATGTTATTTGGCGATGGAGCTGGAAAGTAGAGGAGACACAATCATGAGATGTTTTGCATGGATTACATGGAAATCGGTCATTTCTGGTCAGGGACGTTGAAGCTCTGATTCTGAATATCTATAGAGCAGTGTTTCTCAACCTTGGCAACTTGAAGATGTCTGGACTTCAAGTCCCAGGATTCTGATCATTCTCCAAAAAATATTCTTTTCTCTTTTTTTGCACGTGTCCCATGTAGAATATCTGGGTGAAAAATAATGTTTTGATCTGTAGCCAAAGGGCATGGTCACTCACCATTATGCCATTGTGGGAAGAAAGTTTCAAATTCTGGGTTTTGTCACCTGTCTAAAGGCTAACAAGCATTTTCCTGCTGCTGCTCCTCTGCTAGAGTTAAGACATGATCAGTTTGTCCTGAGAAACAGTCCATCTATTCCCAAAGCAGTCCAAATATATCACCTTTTGGCTTGATTAAGGCTGCAGGCAACGTGGTTACAACATAGTAATAATGCTGCTGTCAATACTCAATGGTTGACCTCTGGGAAAGCTCAGCAATACACAAGAGGAGGTAGTTCTCTGTTTACATTCAAATATGGATGCTTCTCCCTGGTGTTTCTCAACCTTGGCAAGATTAAGATGGGCGGACTTCAACTCCCAGAATTCCGCATGCTGGCTGGGGAATTTTGGGAGTTGAAGTTGAGCCATCTTAAACTTGTCAAGGTTGAGAAACACCAGGGAGAAGCATCCATATTTGAATGTAAACAGAGAACTACCTCCTCTTGTGTATTGCTGAGCTTTCCCAGAGGTCAACCATTGAGTA